TAAGTCAGCCTTGCTGCATTGACTTCAGTTGGGCTATATTTACACTTAATGAATGTCTCACTCTTAGGATCTAAAATATAAAAGATACCAGGTGTTTGGCAATCATAGCATATAAACCAAAGTTCAATTGGCTGGGCAAAAAAAAAGAGTTCATTTCAATAAATATTTTTCTTTTATAAATCACTCAAGTCTGTTAAGTGAAATAGGAGGGGTTTGGAAACATTCTGTCTTGTATCACAAATTTTAAAACACAAAGAATTTGCTAAAATGACACTGACTAGATGTGTTTGAAATCCTTTATGTGACACTGATACTACCAGTAGCAGGGCATCCCAGCATAATCTAGGCATTGCTAATTGATACAGCTGTCTGAAGCAGAGTTCCACTGGACAGCTAGGAAAAGCAAAGGGAACTTCTCTTAACAGACTTCTGTGCTTCAACAGTGACAGCTGTCATAATGCAGCAGCAGTTGTGTATTTGCCTCATTAAGAATGTTGCATCTTTTGGGGAACCAGTTCTCTTTTAAACTAGTTAATTAAGACTTTGGCAGCCATAAGAAATGAATGCCATGCTTTCAATTCTGTACATTTGTTTCTATGTTGGGCCCTCTGACCTGCTTGAAACTTAACAGCTCTTTATTACAGTTACAATTAATTATAAATCATTGGAAAATATTAGCTTTAAAATTTCAGATTAGAGTAATTGGAAAAATACTCATGAAGGAATACTCATTGCAAAAGTCAAGATATTCAAATCAACAGATGCTTATCTCAAATTATGAGCTGCTACTGCCACCTAGAGATGCATGCTACACATTTACAAGCTATGGCTAGCTCTTGCACGTGCAAATATTGCAGGTAAAAATAGTGAGGTGATCTAAGTCTTAGCTGCTCTTAATTAGGTTTAGTGGTACATGTGTTCCATGTTCTTATTTTTAAAATTGTCAGAGACTGTGGTCATGCTTAGGACTTTTCTGATGAAGCAAATAACTATCTTTACCCACTCCTCTTTATGTTGATTAATTAGATAAACAAGAAGGATTGCTTTCAGTAAATCAAGTATTTGCTTAACTTCAGGTTATTGCTAGGGAAATATTTGCAAGTCAAATAGGTCTAGTTTTGTTACAGGTGGCACTGAGAGTTGATCATGTGTACTAAGCTGCACCAAGTACATGGAATGAAAAATACCTTCAAGGATCTGATTTTTGTTTAAATGAAAATCCATTAGAAAGGAAATTGCTTTCATGGGACTTCTTTCACAATTGTTTTTGATGTTCTGCCTCTATGTGCAATCTTTTCCCCATTAAGTCAGTCGCACAACTTCCACTGATTACAATAGGCCCAGGATTTTGCCCACCCTCTCTCTCTAAATTCACGACTTGTCATTGATGAGTGCCGCTGCTGGTTGGTTAAATTGCCTCTTCTTCATTCTGTGTCCAAATCCCCCTTAACTTTTTCATGTTTCCTTCTGGCTGATGGAAACTATCAGCTATGGTAGTTGTTTTCCACTTACAAGTGTGACAAATGCTATTCCTTATTCTAACCATCAGGAATTGCTCACAGTGGAGGCATCACAAAGGATGCCCATGGAGGAGTAGCTTTTTTATTTTTTATTTTATTTAAAAACATTTTTTTTTTTGCACCCTCTGGCTTTTTTCTAGAACTCTCGTACAATTATTTCTCCCTCAGTTCATTATGAAACCTGTTTTGGAGACTTTTGGCTAGACTTCTGATGGGCAGTGGGCAGTTGTTGAAACAAGGGTTTTCAATATTACCTAAGGGAGTTTGATATACAAACCCACTGGAATTCAATGCAAGTTGATAACTGTTACACAACTATGAAAATTCCCCAGTGATTGGTCTGTAGATCCTAAGTGTACGTTGCATTGTGCATCTCTAAGGACAGTTTTAATTATTTCTTGCAACCTTTAGCATTCACAAATACAACACACAAAATATATGATGATGGACAATGATCTTCTGATGTCTACTCTCTATGACTTCCAGCACAAACTTTTGGAGTTTTTGTAATATAAAAGAGATATTTACAATGCAAGCTAGGAGTAAAATTGAAAAAAAGATTTACTTTCTCCTGAAAGTGTATTTCTCTTTCTCTGCTGAAAAAGGTTTACTCTCTGCTGTGATTCTCAAAAATCTGGGATTTTAATGTGAGTCCTGTATAACTCTAATTGAAATACACAAAGAGATCTGGAAGCAGAAACTGGCCTATTCTGATATGGTTAGAGTAGACAGATGGCCTCACACTAATATGTGGTGTTGTGTAGTGATACATTTCTAGAGAAAATCACTTGTGGGGAAGGTTCTTTGGAAGAAATACTGTTAGGCATCCTTTCCTGAATATCAAAGTGCAAAAGATGTCAAAACATGTTGCTGCATCCTGCTTATTTAGATAGCACCTAAACACTTCCCACGACTCTACTCAATACACACAAAAGGCCAGCAGCATTCTTATGTTGTTGGATTTCTTTGAATATGAAAATCTGTGAAGAAATGCAGTTGGCTGGAACAGGGAATGAAGGGTCATGATCTCTGGATTCTTTGTATCTGTCAACTGCTGTCTGAATCTGGGTACATCACTTAATCTACTTACAGTATAGTTTCTCCGTGTCTAAAATGGACCTAGCTGCAACAGAAGGACTTCAGCTTAAGATCCTGAGAAGAAGAGGGATGATTCATAGTTTCACTCAAGGATTAGTGAGTCAGTCACTCTCCCTTAAACATAATTGTCATCAAACATAACTGTCATCAAAATAAAGAAAGAGATGTCAGCATGGATATTATTGGCAAGGGCTCCTTGTCCACCAACAGACCCTGTTCCTAGCCACTGTTAGATAAGTGAGTCTGCTGATTTTTATGCTCTCATGCTTGGATCTTCAGTTGAAGATCTCATAAGGAAATTCTATTCTTTATCAATTGAAGTTCCAATTGAATGGTTGTATATGCCAAAAGACAAGTGTGTGTTTGACAGACTTCTTTCTGAACCCTGCTAAACTGAATCTGAAGGCAATGCAAAACCAGTAACAAGCTTTAACCAGCATCAAACGCCAATGAACCTTACCTTGCCAATGAACCAAAATTTGACCTAAACACTTCTGAACTTCCCCATTTTGGGCTCCAAATACAAACTTGTCAACTTGTTAAAAAAAATCCACAATTACTCTATCTCTGCAAAATCTTAGTCGCTAACAGAAGATACCCTATGCAGACTGATCAAGAAAGAGATTGTTGTAATTTTTTGTGGACTAGCAAAGAAAATTTTACATTTTGTTTGTTTGTTTGTTTTTTGCACCCGGAAAATAGCCTAGAACATGCACAGTTCTGTCAAAGGAAAGTTCAAAGAGGATGACTAACCAAGCATCTTTCAACATCAGCTCAAAAGGATATGGATAAAACACTGTACAGTTGCATTATCCTTTCAGAAACATCTGAGTCCCAGGAGGCTGGAACCCATGAAAAAAAATCTAGCTTTGTCTTGATAGTAAATGATTAGCAGCTGCATTGTTGAAGAAACAGGTCTCATATCTCTGGAACAGGGTTACCTGTGAACACAGGTGTTTTAAGTCCTTTTAAAGTTGTCCTTACAAAACTGCCATATCATTTACAACCTTTCCACAATTCACTTTTCTTTCCCTAGGATTATAGGGGTAATAGGAATATGAATGATAACTGTCTAAATCCCGAAGTTTATCTATAGCAGAGCACAAGTGAGAGAGTAAGATCCACCAAACTTTATTAAGTAGTAGTGCTTTGTAAAGGAGCTAGGTCCAAAGCTTCCATAAGCCCCCTATGATTGTGGTCAACATAGGAGTGGCATCTGAATTCCTCAGCTGTACTGCGGTAAGTCTCAAGCACCTGATTCTGATTTAGCTTGGTTCTGCACCAATTTTCTTTTCCCTTGTTTTTGTTCTTGAACAAAGCTCCAAACTTGTTTATGAGCACGGACAACTCTTCTTGTGACCTCATTGCTGCTTGCTAGTGGGCCAAAAGCCATCAAATAAGAACTGGAAAGCATGACAGAGTAAAGCCAATACACAGCTTAAACAAAAACTGCTTTGGAATGAAGTTGGGCCAGATCTTTGTAAGTGCAATTTCCAGTATTCAACTTTTAATACCTGTAAGCTGGCTTCAGTGCACTTTGCAGGTGCTCATCATAGGTGATCTTCAGGGGTGCCCCCAAAAGTGACCTCCAGAAGGTTCTGTAGTACATCCCTGTGATACAACTCTTTAAAAAGTACTATGGCCATGAAGTATCATGTGTCCATCTCAAATTCTTTTTTCATTTGTACTGCTCTGATCAGGGTTGAATACTGCTGTATTGGGAACGGACCTTACATCTGTACTCCTGATAGGGACAGCTCCATTTTTCTCCATTTTAAACAAATTAAGGGTGGCCCATGGGTTCCTGGCAAACTGCCTGTGTACTGCTTACAGGGCTTTTAAACATCTACTTTTGTAGCAGTAGCTCTGCATGCAAATGGTTATTTCCTGCTTTTCTTAATGATTTTGCTCTGGGTGAAAGCAGCTTGTGCATGAGACGGGAAGCTGTGATGCGTTTCAAATCAATACTTTGGACAAGCTGCTTTATCGTAGAGGAGTATGTTTCTACTTTAACACGGCATCTGAATTTGAACAGTTTTCTTTTCTTCTTTTCTTTTTCTTTCTCCTCTTTTCTTCTTTTTTCTATTATTCCGAAACCCACAATTAAAAGCATGAGGTTAAAAACTGAAGAGTGGAAAAAAAAGCCATATGGCCGTAGCAGGAGGTCTGACCACCCCACCTTAGGCTCGTGACAACATGCCCTACATTTAACCTACAGTCAGGAACTAATTAACTACACAGATGGGAGTGAGCTAGCATATGTATTCAAAATAATACCCCTAAGGTTTTAATCAGCAGCCCTGCCTTTTTCTGGGTTAGAAACTTAAGTGTTACTACAAAGAGCTTTGCAAAATGTATGAACAATATGTATGGTTAAGGCAGTGCCCTGTAGTGCCTAGAGCAGGGGACTAGGAGTTGTGGTTCCTTTAGTCACTTCCTGATTCAGCACTAACTTGCTGTGTGATCTTGGGTAAGTTACTTAAATCTCTCTGTGCTTCAGTCTACCCATCAGGAAAATGGGACTCCTAATACAGTTCTTGCCTTGCATTAGTGTTATGGGATGTAATGGCAATAAAGCACTCTGAGCTCTCTGGTGATGAACATGTTGTAGAAGAATGAATGTATGGCAATTCAAGTCCTCTTGCAACTTGTTTTTAAGAGTAATACATACTTTTAAGCATTGCTGGATTAATTTTTCTCTGTCCAGATACAGAACTGGTTTTGATTTCTCATGGTGAAGTGATTCCTGGGTAATTTACATCCCACCCCTTTTTGTTTTAAGGAGGATTTTTGTTTTGTTTTGTTGTTTTGGGGTCATTTTTTGTTTTGTTGTATTTTGAGAAGGGAAACAGGAAGCAAGGCTAATTAAAGAAAATAACTGATTTGTCTTCAGCTAGTTGAAAAGAAGCTCTCCTTCCCTGGAGGGAAGTTGAATCTGTTTGTGGGAAGGGGCTAGTTCTAAAGCCGCTTTACAGATATCTTGATTAATTGCTTAAATTGTATGTGAGCAGTCTTGCAATGAGAACTGTACTTTGACAATAGAAGCATTTACTTCCATGTGTGCCTCTCAGAAGCAAAGCTTTTCTTTTTTTTAATGCAGGGTTTCCGGGGAAGGTTAGAAGGTTAGAAAAGTAGGTCTGGAAGAGCCTCAGGAGGTCGCTTAGTCCGACTCACTGCACGAGGCAGGTTGGGATAGGCTGTCTTTTATATGTGCTTTATAGGTAAGGTTGAGCTACATGTGTATTTCTGTAAGTAGTGGTTTTATACATGCTTAGGGAATGAGGCTCATGTTTAAGGATACCAAGTGTCCCAACCAGCTACCATTGTTTTAGGGTTGCATGGAAAGGATAATCACTACCAAATACCTATGTGCCTGAAGTCTTGTGTCTCAAGAGACATTCTTACCAGAATCTGTCTTCTACATAACAGAAGACTGATGCTCTGATGCAGTTAAACTTATAACTGTTCAGGTGTTGACTCTATTTAATTTCATTCCCACAAGATGCATCCCTGGGAATGCTGGGCCAGATCCTCCACTGGTTGTAAATCAATATGGCTACATTCATTGACTTTGTTTGTTTGCTTGCTTGCTTCTCTATCTTTTATTTTTAAATATTAATGAAACTATCAAATAGTTACTGGGGCAAGGAAGAACCTCCCCAACCCCACAAATTGTGAATTATATCCCTACAATGAACTAATATTTGGGCAAAGACAGGGGTCTAACAATGTTTTTGGTAGGCTTTTACACTGTATTTTCTTTCAGGATATTGATACTGTTTTATATTACCCATTATATTCTCTCTTTCTCATATATTAAAAACCTTTTACTGTTGTAATTCTTGGGATGGCTGTATGATTCATGTAATCATACTAAAGCATCAGAAAAAAAAGAGAGAGAGAGAGGGTGTTCCTTTCTCAAATGTCTGCATTGCAATTATGCTAATATATTAACATAATTTACCAGCAGCTATAATATAGTAACATAATTTACTGGCAGCAGTATTCTCTCCAAAGCTTCAGAGCAGTACTCAGGATGAAAGTCATGCTGTAAATCCCTGCATGCTGTAGTGACAGAGATGGGTTAGCTTTCTCACAAGTGTTTATGTCTCAGCTTAACAAAAATTCTCCGTCGTTCCATTGGCATGGATTGTAAGGCTTTACAAACTTCCTGAGCTGAGCTGCTAACTGACCTGATTGTTGCTGAAAAACTGATGTTGTCCTTTACATTCCATGGAACTTTGGATTTCTGCCTTTAACATACTTCCTGTAGTTACTTTGGAACCTGGCTTTGTTTTATACCCATGCCCATATATGGAAGGTATCCTCACATTCATGTGATGCTACTGGATGGCCTGATCATGTGCTGAAAGAAGTCCTTACGTGGAGGCGGACAGCCAAAAGATGACTGACAACAGCACTGACAAATACAGGCACATTTTTTTTCTTAGTACCTTGTCAGGGCTCTAATAACAGGCATTTCCAGTTTTTGGTTCACAATCATCACAGCACAGGGTTGATTTACTTCATTTTAAAGACTGACTATGGCTAAGAGCAAGGTGTTCCATCACCTACACCCACACCACACACAGTCAAGAGCTCAGCAAAGGTAAGTATATTGCATGGAACAAATGTGCATTGCATCCTTCCTGCACTCTTCTTATTTAAAAACCATACTGAAGACCATCGGCCCAAACCATGGGGTAAGTGTCCCAGCTGAAAATTATACTTCCTAACCATTCATTCTTTTAGACTAAGCATCTTATTACGTGCATCCCATCCAAACTCAAGTGGCAGCTGCCCCAATGTGGCACTGTCAGTGGCCTGAAATGAATTACTGCTGGCAAGACAGCTTGTATATGGGGTATTTTCTACAGGCTTTTCAATTGCTTGGAGGCACCCAAAGCGCCAACTAAAATTGATATGGCAACTTGGGAGCAGTATGACCATGGCTGCCACCCAGACAGGCACAAATCGTGGTACTGAGCATTTAATGTGTATGAATTTGCACTTAGTGCTCTACATTCTGTTCTTGAATACTTCAATGGGAATCTGTTTGGCAGAAGAAGCTAGGCTTGTGAGTTTGGAGCACAGTGTTCCTTATCAACTAGTAACATTGAAATGGAAAGCAGTCCAAAGATTCTGCACACAAGTCTGAGGTTCTGTGCTTTTGTTCACTAACACACAGATTTAATTAACATTTCGAAAGCTCCAATGACCATGAAGGGAGTGGCTTCAGAGAATCATGATTTGTCTACCCTTACTATGAAACTGGCTAACATCTTGGCATAGAAGAGTCATATTTCAAAGAGCAGAAATTTAAAAAAAAAAAGTGATTAATCTGTTCCCTATGGGATACTGTCTTATCACAAAAGAGCTATCTGGTGTTACTACAGATTCAAGCTTTTGATGGTGGAATATCACAAATCTAAATTGTGTTAACATTGCTGCATGAAGTTTCCTAAACCTAAGGTGTTAACTCTGTAATCATGGTTTTTTAACATTTGGATGGTGTCCCAAAGTTAGTTCTTTTTCTGTATAGTGCTTCTGGAATTGTGTGAGATATGTAGTATATTATTCCATCCATGAACTTATCCTCTGGTGTCTGAAATAAGTCTCTTGTTATCTACTGTGTGAGAGGAGCTACCTCTGTATGGCTAGCTATTTCACTGCTAGACTACTTTTGGTCTGTGTATTGTAGACTGAATTAGTTGATGCCTGATGGCATTAGTTGATGCCTGATTAAAGTAGTTCAGACTGTGAAAACTGTTTCAGTTGTAATCCCCTTGTTGGCATGCTCTTCTTTCTGAATAATTCCATTTGGGTTGAGTGTTGCATTCTTAGCTCCTTCATAACCTGAACACTTCTTGGAAAGCTCGTGTTGATCTTTTTATTCTTCGTTACGTTATTTATCCTCTGTTATGCCCAGAAGACCTAATCTATATTGATTCTTTATTGTGCCAAGTATTGTACAAAGCTTGAAGAATTGTGTGGTGAGCTAAGCCATTTTTAATGCCACCATATGAAAATATTCCCTTCCAACGGATATTAACACAGAAATGCAAACATGACTTTCTTGCATGACTGGGCTTTTGAGGATGGCCTGATGTTTATTCACTTTCATATGCTGCTTCCTTCTGTGCTGCTTG